GGGGGGGGGGGGTGTTCCTCCAGCACCAGCTACTGCAGTCGCAGAAGTTGGCCACCTCCCCAAATCCCTGCTCAGGTGTCTGCTAGTTAGAGCCCCAGGGCCAGCCCTGACTTGTTGAAGCAGGAACGTCCTGTGGCCAGTGACCTGAGCATCCAAGGAGGTGCCCTTTTAGACTTGCACTGGCCTCCCCCTTCCCCCCCGGAGAGACTAAGTCAGGCTCCCTCCTTTCCACTACCCACCCAAAGTCTCTGGCACTCCTCCCCCTCCAGCCCCCCCCTCCACGCAAGGCCCCGAAGAGGAATCAGTGCGGTGTGTGTGCACATGGAGGCTCTGCAAGTCAGCTGCTCGGCAGCCTGGGATTTGCACCTGTGCATAGAAGATGGGCCATAAGCCCAATTTGCAGGAACTACGAGTCAAGCAAAAGTCTTTCCTACATGAGCAACATAGGAAACTGACCACCTGAGGAAAACTGGGGTTAATGGGAAGAAAACATATATGGCAATAGAGTAACAGTGTCACTGAATACACAGGGGTTCTGGGAGCAGCAATTAGCAACAACTTGACACTTAGTTGAATACACTTAACTTACTATTTTGTTTAAATAACTACATCACTCCCCCTTCCCGATCCTCACCCCCCACACCGCCGCCACCTATTAAGGGTTTGGGGATTATAACATAATTGTGGCATTTCAGAAATTAAAAGGCAAATCCAGTTTTATCACTCTGCCTGGTGCAGATGCTTTTGGGGGGCTCTTTTCCCCAGTGAAAGCAGTGACTATTAAATTTGAGCTCTTAACAAGGGAGAGAAGAGATTGCTCCTTGGGTGCCTTGGAACGGTTGGCAGAAATCGTGTGTGCGTGCACGTGCGCGTGTAGGAAAGCCTCTCTGAGGATTGTGGGTCATCGGTGGGGCAGCGTCCCCAAAGGCAGGGCCTGCTAACTGTCCCTCGGGATTCGTGTCACCTTGTGCCTACAGTGCTGGTGAAGGGCCAGGTCACCACCAAGTACTACCGGCTGCTGTCCAAGCTGGGCGGCTGGGTGTGGGTGCAGAGCTACGCCACCGTGGTGCACAACAGCCGCTCGTCCAGGCCCCACTGCATCGTGAGTGTCAATTATGTCCTCACGTAAGTCAGACGTATTTGTTTCTCTCCTTGCTCTCTCTTCTCCCCTGTCCCTCATCGGATCGCTCCAATAAGCACCATCTCTCTCTCTCTCTCTCTGGAACTGGTCATTTGTCTGCTGTTTTGTTTTCCTTCGAACACTCCGGCTGATTGGGAAGGTCCGACGGTCTCAGCCCTCAGCACTGAGGGCCAGGTGCAGGGAAACGAGCCCTGCTCGGGCAGGGATCAGGAGGGGAGCAGGGCCCAGGCGAGGCTGGGCGCGGGCAGAGGGAGGGCAGGGGATGCTCCCCATCCCCGAATGGGATGGAAAGGGGATGCAGGTCCCCCAAAATACGTAATCACACTCTCCATGTGCACACATGGCTGGGTCGTCATGCATGCTTCTGCCATTTGGGACGGGACAGCTCATTTCCCCCGTCTTTCTATATAGCTTATTGCAAATCATGGCGAATATTTGGTCCCTTTAAAACCCCAGAAGGTCAAGTTCAGTGGCAAACACATTTAAGACCATTAGAAGCAACAGGGCATAAGTCCGCCTGGGACCATATATTACTCCCCACCCACTGTGCTATGTTTCGTTAAATCACCTGGCCCTTGGCTCTAACCCCGAACTCGCCAGCCTTGCAGCACCCCCACTGCTCTGAACCTGGGGGGG